GTCTGCGCCCCCCGCGGCGCGGGACTGGAGCGGGCCGCGGGCTCTGTCAGAGGCGGCGAGCAGGTTCCCGCCGCCACGTTGTCGAGACCTGCCGAGTGGGACGTTTGCACGCGGCATGGTTTCTTCGACCTCGCGCAGGTGCTCCAGCGGCAGGCCAGCGCGCCCGTGCGCCTCAGCGACGCCTCATTCGGGCTCCTGCGGGCCATGGGCACTGTCGAGGCCGTCCACGCGGCCGCGCAGCTGTTCGCGTTCGTTCCATCAGCAGGGCTCGGCCGCTGACCTTTGGATAAAGAGTGTCGCCACTTCCAAAGATTTGCTTTGAGGCCGTTGAAGCGCGTTGCTTGTCCTCTCGTGTATGCTCCAGCCAGGCCTCCTGTCCCTGTCAGCGCGCACGTTGGCGGCTCGCCTGATTGTTGATTTCCCGTTGAGTTCAACTCGGGTCCGAGGGGTCTTCGAGGAGCTCTTCGGAAGGGGGGGGGCTTGGCGTGGAGCGCACGGGGCCCAAGTCGCGCGTTCGGCTGGCCCGCCTCCGCCGCCCCCTGGCCGCGGCGGCCTCCCCGCATAGTGGTGGGTGCACCCTTGGGCCTCTAAGGCCCCGACTTTCGCTTTCACTTCTTCAGTGCTGGCGCAAAACGGAATGCAGCACCAGTAGCGATGAAGATCGTCGGCTCTTCCCGGCGCTCGCGAGCAGCCCAGCCGACAGAAGGCGTCTTCGGCCTGGGTCTGCTGAAATCGAGCTTGCGCGAGCCACGTCTTGGGAGCAGTTCTAGACCACGCATCCGCCAAGGCAGGGGGAAGCGAAGCGGCGACAGCTTGGATCTCATCCCAAGGAGTCCGGGCAAGACGAGCGGCGCTCCCAAGGGGCCACGCGTCAAGACGGGCGCCCAAAAGGGCAGGGAGAGGGCCGGGAAAAAGAGAGCGCCAAAGCACGTGTGAAAAAAAAGGTTGGACCTTAAATCTGTCCTTCCTAGCGTGAACAAGCCAGAGGGGGGCGCACTCATTCAGATGATGGATCTCGGATCATGGTGTAGTATATGGTCTGGGCGTCCTCTTGGGGCATGCTCCATGTGCTGGCATATTGCGGGGGGTTCCAATATCGAGGGTGCCTCCAATCTTCTGCTAGATCAACGACGGAAAGGTATGTTTCGGCAGCAGCCTGCAGACGCAGCAGAGAGGGGCGCCAGAAAAAAAAAAGATCTCCCAAGCCGCGCGAATTCTTGCCGCCAGCGAGGTCGCCACTAGAAACGGAATGCGAGACCCCCCCTTCCACGCACACGCCGCCCCAAGATAACCGCGAAGCAATTGAGGTCCCGCGGAACGGAAGATGAAACACACTAACCAGGACGACCGATCCGCCGCGCTCGATGCCGACGGGGAGGGGGGGGGGGGGGAATTGAGCGACGTGGGAGTCCCACGGTGGGACATGGTGGAAACGACTCTCGACGAAAACAGGATGCCGGAAATCGACGTCGGCGAATCTGCAGCGGCAAGCTGGCTCCCTCGGGTCCTCCACTTTCTGACAGGCGGTGCCCAAGACGTCGCCTCCGCGTCGTGGTAGCCGCAGACCCATGCACTTCATTTAAGTAACAGTCGAGAACCCAGCCCATCCTGGAACCCATCTTGTGAGCTCAACTCGGCACCTGTCTAGAATCCCGGGGGCCAAGTCTCCAGCAAGAAGCAACATTTGGCATTTCGCTGCCTTGAAGTTCAGATTCGCCCGCATCCCCGCGTTATCGAACGCCCCCATTGCTTGGGCGAAATGCCCTGGACGGGCGATTGCAAAGCAGAGGCCGTCGTCGCGCGCCTTGACCAGGCCGCGCCGCTTGCATTCGAAGGTATTAGAGAAGTCCTGCAAGAACGGCCCCAGGCCGGCAGCGAAGTTGGCGCCGCTGCCAGCGCGCCCCTGAACTATGCCCGATAGAATGCGGCATGGGGAGACCGAGAGCTGGCCGAACTTAACAAAGACGTATAAAGTACGAATGCAAAGCCTTGATGAACCAAACCAAAAGCCGATGGGAACTGGAGGGCCTCGCGAACAAGGAACATAAATTTGCGGGCGAGCGAGGGGGTGGCCAGAGCGAGAAGAGCAAGGAAGTAGGGGTGACTTTCGGGTCGCATCGACATGATTCTGGCTTCGCACTCCATCTCAACAATGTTCGCGCCGAGCTGCCGCCCCAAGATTAACCCCCGCCCGCCGGCGAAAGTGTCCGACCTCGGCCCAGCGCGCGCTGAAAGCCCGGGCGCAAACTGCTGCCAATATCTTATCATCGCCATTCTTGAGGGCGAACGGTCGATGGTCGCATCGATCGCGAAGCGCTCCAGATGCGCCATTATCCTCTTCCCCCTTCGGCGTGAACGCCCCCCTCATGAAGAGGAAGCCCGAGGTCAGCATCCCTCCCTCGAGAACCCATGCCGTGACCTCCTCGAGGATATCAGCAGCAAGATCTGCCTGCTGCCGCGCCGCGCACGGGGGCATGTCAGGGCCAGGTCCACTGCGCTGCGCTAGAAAAATCGGCTTCTGGACCACGCATGTACTCGGCGAGGGGATGTCGGGCAGGTTCGGGCGTTCAGCGCGTTTCGCGACACGTTTACGGCCAGCATTTTCCAGGGTCGTCTTCGGCCCATGAACGGGCCCCCCAGTGAGACGCAATCGAAGTGGCCATCCCAGGACAGAAAGGACAACCTGACCTCCTTGCCGAACGCCTCGCAACACTAGTCGTCGATCGAAGGGGGCCCGCAGCTCGCGCCTGTTCTGCAGACGTTGTCGTTGCTGGCGGAGCTGTTTCCCGGCCTCTCGCCGCGCGGTAGATCGGTCGCTGCTCGCCCAAGGCGCCCCGGATCAGCGCGCCCAACGAACGCGAGAACGCGCCGGCATCGATGGGCCACGCCTCGCCGGGCAGAAAATCCACGCGCGCGTCGCCGCGGGCGACGGCGCGGCGGCGCAACGGAGCGCGGCGCGAGAAATATCATATCTCCGGACAGCGCGGGCAGCCGACCGCGTCGCAATGATCCTCGGAAGCCTAGATTCGGGGCCAGCCTGGAGCAGAGCATCGCGGGCAGCCTGGGCGCCAGCACGCACGAGGCTCTCGTGGAACTCGAGCGTCAGAGGGGGTCAGTCCTGCCCGATCGTTCGCCTCGAGGCGGGGTCGCGCGAAATCTTCGTGACATGTTGTGCAAACCAGCTGCTTTGCAAGCGCGTTGTTGGGGGGGCGTGAGTTTCGGCCTCCGAAAGTCGACGTGGGCGGGGGCGGGATCAGAGAGGTTCTTGCGATAAGTGGTTTCGACCATTCATTTCGCGCATCCAGTAGCCGACATCTGGACCAGGGCCCGCCCAGGAACATTCGCGGACATTCGGTCGATGAGACAGGTTTTGTCGAGCCCCGCCGAGAAGCGCGCGGGGCCGCCCTACTGGATCACCACCAACTGGGCAAACATTCGGCTCCAGATCGGGCCCCTAATAATCCGCCCGCAACCCCCTCGACAGTCACCTCCTGTGTGATTGAAACCCCAAAAGGCGGCTCGAACCAGGGGGCCGGCGTGAGGACGCCACCCGCGTTAGTAGTCATAGAACCCCACCAGCCCTCTGGGCGTAGGTGGCTTAAGGAGTTTCCTCTTCCAGCCCCCTTTCTTCCCTTTCGGGGAAGGGTTTACCCTTCCCCCTACCCCCCCCCCTGGACCTGGACGGGAGGTTTCGCTGGTAGTTGGAGCGTCCAAGATGGCCCAAGATGGTTCCAAGAGCGCCTCGGGGAGCCCAAGATGAGCTCCAAGATTGCTCAAGCTAGCCTCAGATGCCGCAAGATGGCTCCGAAGATGCTCCAATAGGCCCGAAGACCGCCCCAAGACGGCTCCAAGAGGCCAGCTAGCTTTCCCAGGAGGCCTCCAAGAGGCCAAAATCCTTCAAAAACCTTAGGAAAATCAATGTTTGTTGCTTTCTCGCCTTTTCGCTTCCGATGGCCTTCCGAAGCCTCAAGATGGCGCCAAGAGGCCCCAAGATAGCCCCAAGAGGGGCCAAGGAGAGCCCCAAGACGGCCCCAAGAGCGCCCAAGAGCGCTCCAAGAGCGCCTCAAGATGAGCCCAAGAGGCGATTTTAGAGGAGGATCTAGAGGGGGGGGGGGGGGGCTAATTAACCCCACCCTCTTCTTTGATCGATCGCCTCCAAGATGGCCCCAAGAGGCGCCCAGGAGGCCCCAAGAGGCGCCAAGATGGTCCCAAGATGGCCCCAAGATGGCCCCAAGAGGTCCCCAAGAGGCTCCCCGAGGCACCCAAGACGCCCCAAGAGGCCTCCGGGGCCGCCAAGACGCTCCCAAGACGCCCCAAGAGGCCTTCAGGACGCTCCCAAGAGACATCCGAAGAAACTCCGACAGGCATCCAAGAGGCCTCTGGCCATTCTGCTCGCCCTTCTCCTCATCCTCCTCCTCATTATCGTCCTGCTCCTCCTCCTCCTCCTCATCCGCCTATTGCTCCTCCTCCCTCCTCCCTTCTCCCGCTCCCCCTCCTCCTCCTTCAATTCCTCCTCCTCCTCCTCCTCCTCCTCCTCCTCTTCCGATTCCTCCTCCGTCCTCGCCGTCTTGGGTAAGACGGGTTCCCCAGCCCTTTGTTACTCTGTATGCTCCCTCACTTCCCTGATCACCTCCATTCGCCTGGGCATCGTTAGTGGATGGGCTGGTGGGGATACGCGAAGCGTCAAGAATTCCCATTAACGTCAACCCCGCGCAGAACAACATGAAACATATATATATATATATATATATATATATATATATATATATATGTAAATATGATACTTCAGGTTGTAGAAGTGCACCATGTCCTCTGCCTCGGACCTGGTGCCGTGAGTCTCTTGAACAGCAGCGATGCTCGATGGCAGTAACGACCTCACGTATTTATACTTCCGAGACATTCAAGCGACGCTATGATGGAACAACGCACTCGTATTCCAGCTCGCAAACGATATTGACTACCTGGCACCGGTGGGATCTTGCCACTGGCGGAGAAGCTCGTTAAAGGGCTCCACCGTGTGTCGTGGCGCTCTGCGAGGGGCTCCCCGCGCGGGTTCGGGGTGAACTTGAGAACCGCCTTCCAGTTGTAGGACAGCTGGCCTCTGTCGCGGCTGACGAAGAAGAGCCTGCCCACGAACGTCTGCCCGAAGGCTTTTCTGATCTCCTTGAGACCCAGCTCGGTGGCGATATGCTTCGGGTTGTTGTCCGCGCTGACGTACAGCTCGGCATCCTCTCGGGTGTTTGACAGGTGATTCTTTTCCAACCAGGATCGCCAGGCAGCCGCATCGCCGAGAGGTATTGCCCGACCTTCCTTGCAGCGTAGCCTGATGCGTCCGAAAAGCACACCCTGTGGGACTTGGCGACGGGGTCATCCATGATCTTGAACTCGTCGTCGTTGATGTTCGCGTTCGCCATGAGGTCGGCCAAGGCCGCCTTGATGTGAGCACGAGCCACCATCTGTTTGCATCTGACTGGGTGGATCGTGGGGTCGATCTGGCGGTCGAAGCTGTTATTCGGCATGACGGGTTTCTTGGGCTCCTCCTGCTTCACAGCACAGAGAAAACTACGTACATCGGCAACTTCTCTCGTTCGAGTCTGTCCATGCGGACGTCGTCGGAGGCGATCTTGTCTTCAGCCTGCGCCATCCTCGCCTCCACTTGGCGGTCGACCTGCTGGAGGTGATTGCCCATCGACGTGGCGAACGTAGAAAGAGAAGTTGGCATGACTTGTATCTGGCCGAGCCCATCATTGCGAGTGTCGTCCACGTACTTCATGATGTCGAGCAATCCTGCAGAGGCCGGCCCAGCAGGGGCGTTTCCAACTCCGCCTCCACGATCGGGGGAAGGAGGTCCACCGAAGTCTCCGACCCGAGGTCCCTGGGGCGGACAATCGCCAGTGCCGGCGTCACGAGCAGCCATCGCGTCGCCGTGAGGACACAGCACCCAATCGCAGTCCAGAGGAGTGCGAAACTTGACGACTGGTGGGAAGGGGGAAACTTGGTAGGCCGCTGCGCCTGCGGGTAATTGCTCGGGCCTGCCCCTCGGCTGCAGGCAAGTCCAAAGCCGCAGGGATCGGTTTGAACTCGAGCCAAAATGGCTACGGACCTCCTCCTCCTCCTCCTCCTCCTCCTCCTCCTCCTCCTCCTCCTCCTCACCATCCATCATCATCATCATCATCATCATCATCATCATCATCATCATCATCATCATCATCATCATCATCATCATCATCATCATCATCATCATCCTATTTCCTCCCTCTCCTCCTCTTCCTTGCCCACGTATTCCCCGAAAGGTTTCGACAGCGGTTCGGGGAACACCTGGTCCGATAGTTTGTCCAAGCTCTGGACCCAAACGTTTGGCCAGAGAGGCGCTTTTCAAGAAACCAGGGGGCGGCGGCGATTCACCATAGGCGTCTTCGGTACACGTGTAAAGACATGTGTACATATGTGGTGTTCCGATAACTGTCTACGCTTTCTCCGTGGAACCTGTGCCAGCTTGTAGAACGTGACAGCAAGTGGGGGGCAGTTGGATTCAAAAGGTGGGTACATGCACGTCGTCATCCTCTCGCGCCCAAGTGCTTGCTGCTCTGGCCGCTCTCTTTTCGAATGGCGCGGCCCCGCACCGCAGACCCTGTCGGCTACGCTCCCTCCAGGGGCAATCCGCATCGCATCGTAAATTCGGATCGGATCGGAGTGCGTGTCGGATCGGGCCGCGTCGGTACGGCGTCGAAATCGAATCGGATCGGCCGCGCCAGGATGCACAGCAGCGCCATGCAAGCCGCATCGCATCGCCAAAGTATCGGAACCAAAGCGGATCGATCCAGCAAGAATCGATGTCGAATCAGACCCAGCCCGCGCGCTGCCTCCACCAGTCGACCGGTGAAGGGGGCGCGGCAGCCCAGGGTCGATGGAGACCATTTTCTTAATCCTGGGGGATAACATGCTAACACCTCCTCCTCCTCCTCCTCCTCCTCCTCCTCCTCCTCCTCCTCCTCCTCCTCCTCCTCCTCCTCCTCCCCCTCCCCCTCCCCCTCCCCCTCCCCCTCACCTTCCTCCGGAAGGGAGCCGGGGGGGGTAATGGTAACGGGGGCCGCCGCGCGCAACCCCCGAGGCGCCGCTTGCGTCGTCGTCGTCGTCGTCCAGCCCCACAACGCATGTGCACACAACGCGGGCTCTGTGCACCACAACGCCTTTGTGTACCAAGCCTGCTGCAGCAATGGTATGAGCGTGCGCCACGGCGACTGTCTACACCATAACAACCGTGTGCACCACCGCGCTTTCGTACATCACGCTGTTTGTGCACATCACTGCGCCTGTGTGCAACACAGCTGCTGTTTCAACGCCCCCCGTGCGTACACCTGAAAGTACCGACGGAGCCAAACTCCGGAAAATCGTTGGGGGCCCGAACGTATCAAATTCAATATGTGAGTTGATTGCGATGATTTGTTTTCTGGCCCAAAAAGCGCTCGGTCGGATATTTGAGGCCCACATCGCCTACGTACGCCATAGCGACTGCGCACGTCATGGCAACTGCGCGCACGACGGCGCCCGTGAACACCACGCGGCTTGGGCGCGCGGAGCGGCGTCAGCCGAGGGAATACGCGCAAGAGAAGCACGAGGAACAGCAGCACCAGCAGGAGGAGCAGGAGTAGAAGGAACCCCACGACGGGGTCGACAGCTCCTGGCCCGCGTTCCTTTTCCAGGAGCTGCCAATATGCACACTATCATCTGACGGCATGTACACCTCTACTGCCCCGACGGAGCCAACGTCCAGGAAATCGATGGGGGCCCGAGTGTATCATGCCCAATAAGTACATGTGTGACCATATTGTGATTCTTGGTTTTCCTGGACCGAGGAACGCTCGGACATTGAGCCTACAGCGAATGTGAACACACAGCGCTTGTGTGCACCACAAGGTCTGTGTGCATCACAATGCTTATGTACACCACGATGCCCGCGTCCTGTATGCGCACGGAGGACGACGAGGAGGACGAAAATGAAGAGGGAGGAGGAGGAGGAGGAGGAGGAGGAGATGCGTGGGTACATCATAGCCCACGATGCACGCTTACACCATAGCGATTTAGTGCATTACATCAATTGTGTACATTACGGCGCCTGTGTACATCGCAGGGTTTATGATTTGTGTTCACCACAATGCTTGCATAAACCCACTACGCCTGTGTACACCACAGCTGCTGCTGCTGCAACGACAGATGCGTGCGCCACAACAATGGTGTACACCGCAAAGCCTGCGTACACGCTAGGGCACGCCCGCGTGCCCCACGGCACCAATAGTGCCCGCGTGCACCACAAGCCCCAACTTGCCCGGGATTGCGCACTGGACCGGGCTGGGGCGGGGCGTTACCATCACCGGGGGGGGGCGGCAGGGGGGGGGGTAAAATGTGTTATCCCGTGGGTGGATAAAAAAATGGTCTCATGCACAATGTAAGGGGGTCCTGGAAACGACAAGGCTATGCGATACCAGCTCTGCTGTGCAGCTTGTTTTGCCGGCTCTGGCGCCGTTTTCCCTACCCAGGCTCTGCCTAGAAGGGTTCTTACTCTGTTAGCTTAAAGGGCCGGGCAGTGGACCCCGCCCCGGGCGGTTCCCCCAGTATCCGCCCCGCGGTTCCCCCAGTTGCGCCCCCTTACCTTAGCTTTGCGTATCTCATCTTAGCTTAGCTTAGCTTAGCTTAGCTTAATCAAAGCTTCGCTTAGCTGTAGCTTAGCTGTAGCTTAGCTTAGCTTAGCTTAGCATATCATAGCATAGCGCAGCATAGCATAGCATAGCATAGCGCAGCATAGCACAGCATAACATAACATAGCGCATCATAGCATAGCATACCATAGCCTAGCATAACATAGCGCAGCCTAGCGTAGCATATCATAGCGCAGCATTACATAGCATAGCATAGCATAGCATAGCATAGCATTGCATAGTGCAGCATAGCACAGCATAGCATAGCATAGCATAGCATATAATCAAAGCAAAGGCAAAGCAACAGCAACAGCAAAGCAAAGCACAAGCAACGCACAGCAAAGCAAAGCAAAGCAAAAGCAAAAGCATAGCAAAGGAAAGGCAGAGCAAAAGCAATGTGCAACAGTACGATCAGAGAGCCCACCTGGTGAGCGAATGCAAAAACATGCGTGTGTGTGTGTGCGAAGGCAAAGCAAACAATAAAACCAAACAAAAGCAAAAACAAGCAAAAGCAAAGGCAACTACGACGATGAGGAGAAGGAGGAGGACGGCGTTTACCGTTACTACTAATGCTGCTTTCCTAGGGGCTCCAACTCTTAGATAGGGTCGCACTGGGGTAATTTGTTCCCTGATCCGTCGCCGTCTTTCTGGGTCATGTTATGGTTTCAGTCCCGGATCGAATTTTCGAACCGTTCCTGGGAGGATGTTTTCTGGAGCGCTTTCACGTTACATAAGCACCTGCTTGATAACAGCCACAACCACCCCCCAAACAAAAAACAGCCCTGACGTTTCTGGCCCACTGCGGTGCACGGCGCCTTCCAGGGTGGGGCATGCGCGCCAATCCTAGAATCACCGTGCTACCAGGAGCTCTGGAGCAAGAACGAGGAGGCCTCTCCGGCCATGGCGAGTCCCGGCGTTGGCGAGGCTGCCCAGTCTAGATCTCAAGGGCGGCCCGAAAACCAGGGCCAACCCCGAGCCCAAAGCGCTCACCGCTTTAGCGCCTTGACCATGCGCCCGCGCCCGCGCAGGGCCTGGCCGGGTCTGCAGTGCTGGGGCACCGCCGGTGGTTCCCGTGGGCAATGCGGAGGAGATGACGCTCGGCTCCAGCTTCGCTTCCCTGAGATCGCAGAGCAGCCACAACGCATGCTGCCACTGTCCGCCCTTCTCGCACGCGCTGATCGCCGCGCAATAACTGACCAGGGCAGACTAAGGCTGATCCTGTGGACGTGGAGCGCCGTCTACACAGTCGTGCTTTCATGATGTTGCATCTACGCGGTTTCGTTCGGAACGTTTTCAGCGCTTCCAGACATGTATACTTTTGGTGTAGCGTTAGTCGCATTTCAGGGTCAGTTGTTTGCTCCCGTCGTTGGGAACGCGGCTCTCGCCCCAGCGCGGGTCCGGATTCTGGATCAGATTCCTTCCTCCTCGTTACCGTTCCCCTCTCTTTCACTCCCCCGCAATATCCTGATGGTCACGTTCTTCGTACTCCTGCTGATACTCCACCTTCTCAACCTCCTCATTCCTCCTCCAGCTTATCCACCTCCTCCTCATCATACTTACGAAATCCCCCCTTCCCGATTGCAAAACAACGGGTGAGTCAAATTCAACTGCCATGTTGGGATCAAGATCCTCTAGGACACTTCAGTCGGCGGATAGACAGGTTTCAAAGCCATCAGAGGGTTCAAGGCAATCGGGTAGGATGTCAGATGTGGCGGGAGCGCACCTGACTTGACTGGTTGCCTCCCCCGCTTCCTCTCCCTCCCTTGCCACCCCCTCCTCCGCCTCCCCTGCCCTCCCCATCTCCCGCTGACCCCGCTCCCTGCCCCCTTCCCCTGCAGAACCGAACGAGGATGAGTTGAGGGAACCGTATACAACACAACGTCACCCAAAAAAGACTGTAAGTGATAATATGCCGCTCAGCTCTCAAATCGACTCCCACAGCTGGCTCAGCAAAGAAAGCACCTGCATGAACCATCTGTATCCAACTTGAGGCCAACAGGGCCAGTATGATCAGGGTGTTCTGGTAGTAGTTGTGGTACTCCTATCAGTGGCTCCAGAGAGCGCCTTGGGCTCGAGGACCCCCGAGAGACCACGGCGGCAATATCTACGGCGTCAGCCGTTGAAGTATGAGGTTCGGCTGTCCGTTAAGCGGATAGGGAAAAGAGAAGATATGTTTCCGCGCGCGTATTTTATCTCTCATCCCAAACAGCTATAGATCAGTCAACATACTGTTCAAGGTAATATAGTAATGCTTATAAGCGGCGGCAAGACACGTCTAGGAACTACTCCCCCCGCGGCGGCCCCGCCACAGCAGCCGGCCAGGGCCGACGCAGCACCATCGGGACCTCACGTCACCGACGGCGCCGAATTGAAGCGGGCGAGGGCGCGAGGCTCACGCAGCCACCAGCAGCCCGGCTCGCCTCCGCGGATTCACCACGTCGCCATGGGCTTATGGTGCGTTTGCCCATCCCAGCCGTCGCCGCGGCGCCAGGACCAATCCCAGCCGTTGCCGCGGCGATCACCCCAGCTGCCGCGACCGCCCTTGCCACGGTCGCCTTTGCCCGCTCCCTTGCTCCCGGCCCGGCGGGAGGAGCCCGGGCGCGCACTCCAGGCGTCGTTGGCGGGGGGCTGACTGCTCCTCCGATCGTGCCACGGGCGCGGGCTGAAGTTGGGCTGGCTGGGCTGCGATGTAGAAGGAGCTTCGCTAAGGCGGACTGGCTCACGCACGTCCGTGAAGCGGCATGGCCGCGCCTTCGCAAGAGGCGGGGACGTCGTGCGATCCTCCGCCACGGTGCGGGCGCGCATGCCCTTGCCCGGCTCCTCGGCTGCAGCAGGCGGCGGGGTCGCGCGACGAGCAACGCCCCCCTTGCCGAGCCTGGTCAGCGGCGTCGCAGTCGCCCTGTCGCTCCGCTGTGGACGGCGACTCAGGGCGCGTTTGCGGCTGGCAGACCGCGCAGACCTTGCAGTCGTGGCCGTCGGGCGGCCCCTTTGCTCCTCACGCGCCACGGGCAGCCTTGAGATTGGACGCTCTTGGTCGGGGTCGAACGCCGCCACTCCGTGCTTCCCCCAGATGGTAAGGGCATGCACAGCTGCCTCGCACACGTACTGTGGCCATCTCTCGGCCGCGGCGTGCTGCAAGGTGTCCGGCCTCATGCGCACTCCACGCTTGAGCGCCCTGGCCTCCGCTTGCTGCAAGTACGTACTGCATGCGCGCCTCGCTCTTGTGGGCGTCGATTGAGATGGGCGGCGCATCTTTGCGACCCACGCACAGGTCGCGGTAAACCAAGTCCAGCGCATCGCGATGAGCGTTCAGAATATGTATCTCGCTCTTTAAACTGGCTCGGTATCGGCCGACTTCCGCGGGATGAACCTGCATGGAGTCATCATCCGCGATCTCTGGGTTAATGTCAGTCCACGAGAAGTCCTTGGTGAGCTCGATGGCCAAACTGTAGACCTGCTCCGACGTCCACTTCGCCTTCTGTGAGGGGGAATCAAGGTCGTAGACGCAGAAGTCTGGCGGGTCGAACCACAGCTCAAGGATCTTGGCCACGCAGGAGGAGACGTCTCCAGCACGATGATGATCCTCGGGCTCGTCAGCGGCTTCAAGGAAGGTGACGAGCTCCTCTGCCGCCCTCGTAATGCTGTAGACATCAAGGCGCGGCAGGTCAACTGGGTTGCGAACGTCGCGCTCCGGTGCAAGCGACTTGTCGCGCTTGTGCATGGCGTTGCCGCCGAATGCCCGTGACGCGTCTCCTGTCTGTGACTGCCTCGTGCGGCTGCGGGACCTGCCGCGCTTGCCATGGGCAGCGGCAGATGGCCAAACCGAGGCCGGGGCGCGGACTTGGCCCCTCGGGGCGTCGTCCTCGTCGTCTCTGTCCTCCGCCTCGTAGTCCGCCTGAACCTCCTTGGGGGGCCAATGCGTGTCTAGCTTCCTGAATATGTGCCCAGAGGTCCCAGAGCTCCGTTGGCAGGTCATCTCGGTTGTCGGTGCTCCAGGCATCCCATCCCATGCTGGGCTCGATCTCCTCGCGGGCGTCAGGGTCTGTAGTGTCCCAATCGAAGATGTTGAGGATGCCCACGTCCGTGCCCTCGTCGGTCAAGTCGACGTGGCGAGACATATATGCCCACCGTTTCCACGACGGGCTAGTAGCACGCTGGCCGGTGGGTCTCTGGCCGCGGCGCTCCTGGTAGCTCACCCATCTTCGCGCCAGTTTGTGTCCCTTTCCCTCGCGCACCTTGCTGCCATGGGCAGGGCGCCTGTCCGTCGGCGACGACGGGGCCCAGGCGAACACGGACCGTTCAGCCGACAACGTGGCCGTCTTCCCCGCCACTGCGGAGTGATAGCGGTTCAACGCAGCTTTTTGGATATCTTTACTCCAGGTCCCTTGCCAGCGACCCTGTGTTCTTTCAGCGTTCTGTATTTGAGTCGCTCTGGCTTTCTTGTGATGGCTCCCCCTGCCGCTCCGATCATGGACCGTGGCGGCAGGGTGCTGAGGCCAATCCTTGTGCATCCCAACATTTCTCCAATCCACTGCAGGCTGGAGCCGATCGGGCAGCTTCTGGACGCCTCGTAGAGAATCTCTTGGGCACACACGCCACAGGCCAGCATGCCGCAGCGGGTCTTGTGCCCCAGATAGCAGACGAGGCACATGTCATCGTCCCAGGTGGGGGGTTCTTTGACGCCCTGCCACAAGACTGCGTCCAGCTTGTGCTCCGAGACATGGCTCACGATCCGCTGTCCCGGCTCCAGGTAGTCAACGCACCCCGTGTGCGGAGTGGGGGCACTGCAGCATGGTGAGGCGCCGGTCTTAGTAAACGTGCCACATGAACTTGTCACCAGGGGCTTCCAGCACCGCAGATCTGCCAAATGCCCTTCCGTTGAGGAATGCGGTCTGTAAAAATCGGGCCCGATGGCAGCACCCAGTGCGGATGAGCCTCGACATGCCTCTGACTCAGAGTGGCGAAGAACGCAACCTTCAGAACGGAGAGATCGAAATCGAGAACAGTCTTGTTGGTGGTGCCATTGAAGTCCCTGGACATCCCGTTATGATGAAGAAACGTTGGGAAATTGCCCTCCAACTCGGCGCGCACTTTCATGTCGCCTCGTTCCACAAGATCGCGGGCCTCGTCGAAGCACAAGGGCTCATGTATGTCCGCTACCGCGTTCAGATCATGGATCATCTTCGCGTGCGGCGAGAGGGCAACTGCGAATGCCGCGGTGCCGTATTGGCGTAGTCCTGTGGCTGCATTGAGCAGCGGGGCCGCCTCCCCGCACTGAATTTGCCGAACGTCCACGGGATCCATCGGCAGCAAGAGCGCCCCGCGCCTGTCGCTCATGTTTGGATCGCGCCGCACGTTGCGTCGGTGAGGACAAATGACCCTCAGGGGGTCGCCATGCACAGCGCGGACGAGACGGGGGCGAACGGCAAGAACGATGAAGATCTGCTCGTCGTCGCTGTCCCCAAAAGCCGCGTTGCAGTCGTCGGCGGCGTCCGTCGCGCCAACCCCCTTCAGAGCGATCTCGGCGAAGCTGCCGTCCCAGTCCATGGGGCGGGATGTCGGGCCTTCCGCTGCTGCGTCAATTTCGACGCCGGGTATCTGGATGTCCTTCGAGTCGAGCACCGACAATGCGGGGGGAAATCTGGACCACGAGCGATCATATCCGACGTGCTTCATCATGTTAATCAGCGCGTCGACGTCCACCCATCCTCCTGAGCTTAGCACATGGGCCAAGCTGTGGCGGAGCAGGTAATCACCAGTCCTCCCAGCCGCATGGCTTCATCTCGACCCAGCTCGCTTGCACTTACATAAAGCCTGGAGCGCAAGTGCGGGTACATCGGCGCCAGGTCATGGGCCGGGCCGGGCTAAGTCGCGCTCTCGATGGTGCTGCAGCGAGCCCTGAGGTAGCTCTCCACCCTGTCGCGCTCATCGGGTTTTAGCCGCCGTAAGTGCTCCAGGAGCGGGTCTGCCACGCAGTCAGCGTACACGGGCAGCCTGTCACTGGCGATCGTTCGGCCGGCTCGTTGACGCGGGAGCACTGGTCCATTATTGTGGAGCTCGTCGACGTAGCAGGCACGGGGAAGCGAAATCGCCTTCAGGTTCTCCCTGATGAAGCTCTCTGTTGCCACAAGGATGCGGCGCCGCTCACTGGGGGGAAACCTACGTAGGTCAGCTCATCGTGCTCCAGATTGAGCTCCTCGAGGTCCAGTTGGTCTCCGAAATCATTGTGAAGCTGTCTGAAGCCGTCTTCTGAGATCTGCTTCTTCTTGGGGAGCGGCAGGGTTCCTTCGAACAAGAAGTAATCCATGTCGAACGGAGAGCCCAGCTTCTCATCGTAGGATGTTGTCTCGGGGTCGACCTGTATCAGTGGGTTACCTGCATGGCCGGGCCCATCCGATGACTCTTCTGCCATTTCTTTTTGTGAGTCATCAGCGTGGCTGGCCTCGCCTGACCCCTCAGTCCCCATGGGTTCGTCCTCTTCTTCTCCCTCAGAGCCGTCCTCGTCATCAGTCTCGGAGTCGGACTCGGAGTCGAGGTTGTTCGCAATCTCCTCCCGGCACCACTTCTCGCATTGCCTTTTTCTCATATTCTAAGACGTCGGAAGGTGCGCGCCCGCCATGGGCGTCGGCCCATCGACTGTAATTTCGGCGCCTCGGGGGGCACCGATCCAGGTGGGCTGCCGTCACAGTATTGCAGAAATAGCAGTTGCGAACAAGAGGAATCTTTTCCCCCTGAAGAACTTCCCGATAGGTCGCGCGAAAGCACCCTACCGTCGGGCACGGCCGCGCCTGCTGGTCTCGAGCCGCCGCGGACGAGGCGCGCACAAACTTGCGGCGCATGGAGGCGAAGGCCTCGTCTGGCAGCGGCGGCGGCTGGTACTCGGGCGCCCCGCCTCGAGGATCAGGCTGTTGATCGTCGGGCAGCCCGTCGGGGAACTCGAAGCGTATCCGGGAGTTCGCCGTGAACGAGCGATCGATACCCGCATGCCCGATATTTCCCCAGCCAGAGCGTCTCCCCCCCGATTGTCTTTCACGCCAATCCCTTGCTGCCTCGGCGTGCATGAGCTCACGACCACCGCGGCGGATGACGCTCTTGGACCTCTTCGGTCATTCGGGTTCGACGCTGCCTGGGACGTGGTCCGCAGCAGGTTCTTCAGGTTTTCTGTTGTTATCCTCCCTCTTCTTCTGAGCTAGGAAAATCTGCCAGTCGAGGTCCGAAATCCTGGGCGTCGACATGTCCATCTCCATGCTTCGAAGCGGCGGACGCTCACTTGGCAGGCCAGCCCGCGAAAGAGGGGTCACGATGTCCTGGGACCCATGGGCTATGAGGATGGGGCGGCCGAACTGGTCCGCGATTAGGCCGCTCTCGTATAGTTCGCCGTACTGCCAATCCTTTACCCCGAGGAATTCGACGCGTTTCCTCCTTATCTCTCCCAGCTCAGCTTGGATCTCCTTCTGCTTCTCCGAGTGGAATTCTGCGCGTACCGCGCGCCGGATCATGGCCTGCGCGCGTGCGGTACGGGGCCCCTCCTGACGCATCGCGTCGTCGATCGCCTGGTCTATCCGCCACTTCGGAACCCCTTCCTCCGGGTCGGGTGCAGGATCAACCAGAGCCTTGTAGTCGACCTCGAAGTGGCGGGAGTGTTCTGGGTGGAAGACCCAGAGATGACGCTCGTTGGCCTGGCTCGGCGGTGCGAAATAGAGTCTCAAAGAAAGCCTAACTATGAGTTCAGGCTTTTCGCAGACGTATTGCTGTCTCCCTTTTGTTCCGGAATCTATGGGACGGAAGCCTCCTTCATGTGATAATGGGGTCGTAGCCTTGAAGTCCATGGTGACCAGGTCGCCATCATCCCACAGCTCAGTAGCATGGCTATGCTGCTGGTGGTTTCGGTGGATATACTCGGTGTCACGGAGGGCGTAGACGCCTTCTGCGTAGCCCCTATCCTTCGCCTTCTGGTCCGTCTTGACCCTCATGCTCCACTTCTCCTTGGACGGAAGGAATACACCAGCGTTAAGTAAGGCGTAGAACTTGCGGATGTCCGAGGCATGGGAGTAGGTCTCCCATTGGCCTCGCCTGTTGCGGTCATGGACACGCTCAGGTAGGAGGAAAGGAATCTCGAGCATAGAATCTGATTCAGCTTGGAAAACGCCGTCTTGCCCCAGTCGAAGAGCGCGGTGCAGGAGACGTTCTCAACGCTCGTGGTGTGAAGCCGCCTCGTGGCCAGGCACTCGATGGCCATCCTCAAGCTGCGCCCCCGCGTGATGAGCGGGGAACGGGCCAAGCGCATCCTGTTGACCACCCAGTCGCGGCCAGCGACGCGACCTTTCAGCGAATCGTACAACTTGTCATTATCGTAGAACTGCTCTGTCAAATGGAACTCCTTTGAGTCCGACTCCCTTTCGCGGCTGATGAGCATGAGCTCGCAATGAACCGCCTGGTGGTCATGGACCATGATTTCGCGCGGTGGCGCCGCTGAGCCTCCAGGCCTCGCGCCCATGGTGACGGACTTCTGGTGCGAAGCGCACGCTTCGAAGAACTTCGGGCATCGAATGCGGCCAGTTCCGAAGTTGCAAGCAATGTGCGCGTTCTCTCGTTCTCCCCGGCGACATGCGAATGGTGGAGCACGTTCTCCATGCTAGCATCCCAGAGGGCCCTCCCGGAGGGGTCGTCACTGGCGGGCTGCGCCTCAGCGGCAGTCCGCACTGGCTCACTCGCCACGGCGGCCGACTTGGGGCGCGATGCGGCGACGAATTCCATGGCCGTGTCCTTCGCTGTCGCGTCCAATGCGGCGGCCATCCTTTCGTCGATGGGCAAGATCTCCATGGGATCACCGGCCACTGTCTCCATTGCGTAAATGTCCACCGTGCCATCATGGGGCACAGTGGAGCACCGCCTGTCCGCCCAGGCAGGTCGTTCGCCATGATGCTCCGCCAGCCAGTCCCTGAAGTCCTCCGAGTTGATGTTGAAGGACTGGGGGCGGCACGTACGCTGGAGCTCCAATGTCGCCGAAGGGCAGCAACTCTCCCAAATGGCAGCTCACATGGTGGCCGCCGGTGGAGATCGCGTTCTTCATCATTGGGCCAGTGGCGCCCGGGGGCTTGGGCGGTGGTGCGACCGGCGGCGGCGGCGGAGCCGCCACTCCTGGCGCGGCTGAAGGGCGCTCCTTGACGTCGAAGGCGGGGCAGCACAGCTCGTGGCAGATCGTGGCGGCTCCATGATGTACTTCGCACGCGTGGCCACGTAAGTGTGGTTCTCCCCGCCCGGCAAGAAGTGCCAGTCATCGCCTGGCTTGTGCTGGCCCTTGTGATAGCGCTCGGAGCCTCGGAGTATCAGCATCTTCGGATTCTGGCCCGCTTCCTGGTAGAGGTTGACTCTGTTTTGCCCCCGCGCCAGAGCTCGGAAGGCAAGTGTGTCCCAGATTCGCCCCTCGGCGCTGCCTCTGGGATGCCCCCGGCTCTGGCCGTCGCCCATTACCAACATGACGAGCATGGCTCCTGTTGTCTCCGCTAGATGCGTCTGCTCGTCCACGACGTCGTCCATCATGGATAGGGCCCGACGCTCCAACTAGTCGGACTGGAGAGGGCTGGCTCCGCGTCGGGCACCCTTGGCTCGCCGACGGTCGTCGATGCGGTCGCATAATTCGTTGCCGTTCCACACGATGACTCTGCAGCGGGTCGGGCACGCCGTGGCCCGTCTCATGGAACGTAGCGAGACCTTTATATCGTCGAGGGTCGCGCCACCCCGAACGCTGGTCTGACACCCATGTGAACGCATGGTTAGCTGCTACTTGAGAGCGCTGGGCAGCGCAGCTTTGCCCTTGGCGTTAATAAGCGCCATTGGAGACGAGGTGCTCAATGTCTTTGTACACCCGCACGCCCTCGTCCATGTGCGCTGCGATCTTACCAGCCCATGTCTTGGTGGGCGCTGGCTGGTGCCACGTGGTACATGGCACACCGTGGGCGGCGTACAGGTAAATGGCCTCTCCCGAAATGCGGGGCGGCATGCCTGCTGCTCGCATGCGACTGCTGAGCGCCGCGCGGGCCTGCGGGGAGTCGAGCCTCGTGAACGCAGTCGCCGCCTCTGGCTTGATGAGGTTTGCCAGAGTCTTCCCGACGGATTTCGCCGCCGTGACATAGGCGGGCGGCGGCCCCGCCTTCGGCATGAACTCAAAGTCGAGGTGCGGGTCGGCAACGCCGCCCTTCTTGAGCTGCTCGCGACAGTAGGCCAGCGCGTTCCAGAAACCGTGCACGCCCACCCTGTCGGCCAGGGCGCACCGGCTCTCCTTCCGCTCGGCCATCGCCTCCGCAGCCTCGGCGGGTGTCTGCGCGGCTGCAGGGGCACGCGAGGGCTGTCCCCTCTGCTGTGCTCGTGAACTCGCCGCGGCTGCCCTTGACCTGCTATGCCCCCTTGGCGGTGGTCTCTCGCCTGCACGGGAGCGAGCAGCCATGGGCTGCTGCATCTGCTCTGTGGCTCCGGTACCGCGGGCATGGCCTTTGGTACCTCATTTCCCTGTCTTTGCTGGTTCCTGCGTCATGGGGGCGAAGACGTCGGACATTGCCTGATCGCCGTCCGTTTTCCCCGACGCAGGACTGGCATCAGCACCGACGGCTGCTTTGGCCCTCGGGCTGTTCTCGTGGATCTGCCTCAGCTTCTCCTGGTCCACCTGGGAAATCTGAGGCTCCGTCTTCTCCTCGGGCAGGTCTGGCATCTGCCCGGCGTTCTCCGCGGGGTCGGCGTTGTCGTCCTCGGGCGACGTCACCTCGAACTCGGGCGGCATCGACGAGTCCGACTGTCGCGAGCCGGGGGCTGGCTGCTGCTGCTCGTCGGCGGCTGCCTTCGCCGCCTCCTCCAGCTCCTGCGCCCTACGGAGGCGTTCAGCCAGTCCCGATGATGGCTCCGCCGCATAGCCACCCACTGGTCGCTGCTCCAGGCCGTCCGACGCATGGGTGGCGGCCCGGGCTGGATGGCGTGCCCTTGCCGCAGCTTTCGGCCTCGGCAACGGCGAAGGCGGGGCTTTCCCGTGCTCCGCCTTCGGCGGCGGCGGGCCCCGCGGCGGTGGCGGCTGCGACTCGCGCGTGGCAACGGGTGGCGGCGCATGCTGGGGCGGCGCCTTTGGCTGCGGTAGGCCCCGCGGCGGTGGCGGCTGCGCCTCGCGAGTGGCAGCTGATGACTGCGCGCGCTGAGGCGGCGCCTTCGGCGGCGGTGGGCCCCGCGGCGATGGCGGCTGCGCCTCGCGAGTGGCAGCTGGCGACTGCACGTGCCGAGGCGGCGCCTGCGGCGGCGGCGGGCGCCGCGGCGACGGCGGCTGCGCCTCGCGAGTGGCAGCGGGCGATGGCGCATGCTGGGGCGGCGCCTGCGGCGGCTGTGGCCCCAGCGGCGATGGCGGCTGCGCCTCGCGAGCGGCAGCCGGTGACTGCGCGTGCTGGGGCGGCGCCTTCGGCGGCGGCGGGCCCCGCGGCGATGGCGGCTGCGCCTCGCGAGTGGCAGCCGGCGACTGCGCACGCTGAGGCGGCGCCGTCGGCGGCGGCGGGCCCCGCGGCGATGGCGGCTGCGCCTCGCGAGTGGCAGCCGGTGACTGCACGTGCTGGGGCGGCGCCGTCGGCGGCGGCGGCGGCGGCCGGCCGCGCGCCGCTGCTCCTGGAGATGGCTGCCCGCGCACAGGACGCCTGGTCTGAGGTGGCTGCGGCACATGCTGCTCGGCCGCCACTGCGCGACCCCAGCGATGTTGGCGACCCCCCTCCCCGGGCTGCACATGGTACGTTGCCGCGGGGGTTGCCTGCTGACTTAGCCTTTGATCCACTCGAGCCGCAATGATATCCTGCCTCATCTGCCCCCTGAGGTTGATGTCGGCAGTCGGCATTTCGTAGAGCGGAGCGGGGTCGAACTCGAAGTCAATCAATCCGCCCCTGGCACGTTGCTCCCGGTCTGGAGACATGTAGTCCGTGCGCTTCAGCCACCCGTAGTGCACGAGGCTGTCTGCAGAGTCCTCCTCATGGGGTTCGCCCTGAGCCGCTCTGCGGCCCTGAAGGGTGACGAAGGGCCACGCGTCGCCCCACCATGCAGGGCGACGCAGGCGGTCCTTGACGAACTCAAAGGTAGGGTTCGTGTTCACGTGGTCCTCAAGCTCCTTAAAGCTGATGCCGTCGTAGCTGCTCATGGAGCTGAAGTCCTTGAGGAGCATCCTGTGACCAAGGGCACCATGTTCGAGATCGTGATTCTCCTTAATGGGATACTTCTCTTGCGATGCGGGCCCGAGCGGAGCCTGCCCCGGGTCAGCCGTGACGCCAGTACAGTCGACATGGTCGGGGAGCGTGGCACGAATCGAACAAAATCTGTCCGTGATATGCCTGCGCGCTCCTCCTGGCCGATATTGGTCGACATGGTCCCATATCGGTTCCGAGAACCACTCGAGGAGGTCACGAGGGGCCCTGGTCCGCAGCGCGTCGCACAGCCGGTCAGTCGGCTCCTGAAGCCACGCCTCGAGCAGCTCCTCGTTCTGCTGCAGAGCGAAGTAGGGCCAGGGCATGCGAAAGTTCATCGGCGCACTCGCATCAAACCACGGCGTGACGACGACTGCACTTAGATCATGGATCTTCCGTGCTCCGCCCACATCTTGAAGGATATGCCTGATGGACTGCTTTCCACGAAGGACGAGAAGGTTCACGTTCACGCCCTGCACGAACGGCTCCAGGCCCGCGATCCACGGTACCTTGCCTGCGCTGGCGGAGTTCCAGATGGCATTGTACATACCGGGCGGCAGCCTGACCATGGGCTTGTATGACGGCTTCTTGAACATTTTGGCGAGCAACCCGACCGTGTCGAGCCTACCGTTCCTCTCGCGCGCCATCGCGTCCGCATGGCAGACCTTGTGCATGTCACGGAAGCCAGATGCGATGTTGACGTTCGCCCTCGGCTCGACCCCCAGTACATTGTACAAATTTGGGGTCTTGCTCCACGCATATGAGTGCGGGTTAAATGCGCCATTGCCGAGCTGAGGCGTCGGCGTGGCCACCCCGCCATGCTGGATGTCCTCGTTGGAGCCCTGCGTCTTGCTGAAGTGGTGGAGCTGGGCGGTGCCCCAATCGCCCGGAGGCATGACGTACTGGTCCGGCCGAAAGGTTTTGACGGTAGTCGAACAGCCTGAGCGATGGCGTTTCTCCAGACGCTCGTCCGACAGGGCACCCTTGGCGAGGGGCGCGAGCGCCATCGCCTCCTTTGCGAGAGCTATGAGCTTCTCCTCGTCGGTCATGTCGCTCGAGCGCAAGATTTTGACCGCGGGCTCGTAGCCAAAGGCGTCGGGGCAGTCCTGGCCGCCCTGAAACATCTTGCCCCAGTAGCCGCGAAGCGCGCCGTGCGTGATGGCCGACATCTTCTCAACAGCACCTTTCATGGAGCGGTGCTGTTCGCGGTCGGGGCGACTGCTGCCTCTCCCTCTCACACTTGCGGACCTGTGGGGCCCGCTGTCAATTGGTGTCGGCGCTGCTGAGGCGCCGCCGCGGAAGCTGCAGGGCGCCGGCGAGCTGCGGCGGCGCGTGCGAGGCGAAGAGGCTGCAAATCCAGCCGCGTGGGAGGGCTGCGCAGGGGCACCGATTTGAGCCATCATGTCGACGGTGGCGCTCAGGAATGCATGCAACGTGGCAGGGGCAGCATGTGCATGGACAACAGATGCGGCATGGTCAACAACGTTTCCAGAGGCGGCCTCAGAGATCAATATGGACCCTCCGACCGAACTCCTCTGTGTTGTCCTCTGCCAGCTTGCAATCCTTTCCCCTGGCTTCCACGTGCTTGTGACTGCCGTCGCAGCTGCGCTCAAGACCCTTGGCAATGCAACACAGGACGAGGCAATGCTCCAAGGCTTTTTCATGGATTGCCCTTTCCTGTTCTTTAGTCCGCATGCGCAGCCATGAAGCTGTATCTTCATCATGTGGTGTTTGATCAGAAATTCGTTGACTTGTGGATCATGCCAGTAACGACAGGGAGTCGGCCTCGCGAGACATATGTGGACTTTTCTTTTACTTACCTATTGAGCCTCTTCACGAGCTACCCAAAAGAATTTCCGAACAAATGTAACGTGACCCCTCAACTTCTGTAGTGCCTTCTCGTTGCCAGAGCGGTAGTACCCGGCCTCGCTAACATGCTGCCATGGCGACCCGCCCGTACACGGCATTGAGATCCACGCTGTTATCCGTCTGTCCGTGGCCAATCCTTGTTTCTTCAATTGTTGCCCAACTCTTCGATTTTGGCCACAGCAAACGATTTGCCTTCTTTGGTGGTCATGTTTTCTTCTTCTGTCAGTCTGGCCACCTTGCATAGGTCATCGGGAACGTTACTCTGATTCCCTGACCGACTATTCGGTCCGCAGCAAAATTCAATAAAGAGGCGTTGCCGGGATCTTTCGCTGGAACCTACTGCGGCATTGGGAACTGCACCGATAGCATGGCTTGCGAGCGCAGTCTCCTGTTCCTCAGCCTTCTCTGCTGGCGTCCCCGCCCGGTTATGAACGCGGGGGTTTGCTGGCGCCTCAGCAGGGGGCTTGCCCTTGTTCTGTCGTTTGGGCTTGTTATTGGCCTTCTTGCCGGGAATCTCGCGGCCGTTCCGAAGTTTGGACTTTGGGCCGAGCTTCGGCTTGAGAACCCCTCCGGGTTTCAGAGGCAGTCCCGCGTCGCCTTGAAACACGGAGTCCAGATACTTCTGGCATGTCGGGGCCGTCCAGAAAGTCGGGGCCACCACCTGCACGAGATAGAGAACCTTCGTCCATGATGGGGTTTGCTCGAATCGTTTCGTGCCGACGTCAGCGGCCTGGTCCTGCGTCGGACAGTGAACCAGGTCAATGGTGTCTCTAGCGAACTGTTTCGCTACGGCCGAGGCGTCGATTCGGTGAGTTCGCGGCAGGTGCATAAGCTTCTGGGACCCGCCAGCTTCACAGACAAACCTTCACGACGGCCCGATTGTCTGCCATGAACTCCGCCCAAGGCGCGTGACCGAGTAGCATCTCTCACAGCGGGGGCGCCGGCGGGAGCCCTCGTCGGAGCGCTTCGTCTGCGGCAACAATTTCCGCGAGGCACCGCTGTTGTCGTCGTGAACTGCAGCTCTGTAGCGCTCCCGTGTGTTCTCCCCACAAAAATTGCGCATTCGCACTGGTACTGCGATGCGCGCGGATGTCACTGGCAAGACCGACGTCCGCGAATTGTCGTAGCCAGACGTCTTCTCGGCGATCTCCCACCCAAGAAACCAGGCGGTAGTCAGTCGTGGCTTGCAAATAGCAAATGATTCGAAGGAGATCAATGCCTTGCTGCTCCGCCCATTTTGCGACGCACGCGGCTGTCTTACAGACAGCATTGAGCAGATCAGGGCGTGCCATCCGCGCGCCGTAAAATATATTCATCAAGATTTTCGCTGCAATTGGCTGCAGCATTCCCGACGGTGCGGGCGGTTTGGGATCGGGAGCAGGTGGCCCGCCCATGGGAAGGCCACCGACGTGTACCTCGGCGACTGAGGGCCCTACCATGGCGTCGATGCGTAAGCATTCAGCCGGGGCCTCTTCCGCAGGGGCCAGAATCTCACCCCGCGGGCCGCCCTGGCCGCCCTCGAATGACGTACGTTCGGGGCCGACAGGTGTGCCCGAGAGAGGATGCGCACCCTGGGCGGCGTCCGTAAGTTCAGCGTAAAGCGATATGCAGGACTTGAAGAACTCCATGTCGTATTCCATAATGCGCACCTTCTTCTTTGGTCCTAGCTTGTACTCTGGCGTCGGCGCAAGCGGCGGCGGCGCCGGGGCCGCGCATCGTCCTAACCGAGGCCAGTCCTGATCCGTAGGGCTCTGCGGTGTAAAGATGGTGGCTTCATCATCTTGGTCATGGAACATGAAGATTGTGACCGTTTTGCGCATACCACCGGGGAGCGGAGCTCTGAAGCACTCGTCTGCGGCATCAGCAGAGCTGGCTGCCGCGCCTTCCTTGTGAACTGCGTCGTCAAGCTCCTCCCATGCGTCGTAGTCAAACGTAATGATGCGGGTAACCCTGCGCCAGTCAGGGCCGCCGGGTAGAGACGCATGGTACCTCGTGGCGTTCGCATCATACCTCAATCACACGCTTTGCCCCTTGGGGACGTGGAACGATCTGTCGCTATAGACAGGGACATCGCGCACAGCATGCATGTCGCCATTGGCGGCCGCTGCAGGCAGGGTGCCAGGGTCAGCTGGGTCCTTGGCTTTCTTCTTCATGGGCGGCGGAGGATCCAGCATGGCTGGGGCGACGCCCTGCCAGTCGACCCATTTCTCGGAGACTCTGTGTTCGCATCCAAGATACCGCCCCACCGCCGTCGGGGGATCCATACCGATTCCGTCGGGAGCCGTCTCAGACGGGCTCAAGATAAGACCCCATCCTGTCTTCAGGTAGCGAATAGGGCCAGCGAGCTTGAAGTCGTCTACGTACACGATCAGGAAGAACTCAAGCTCTGGAAGGTAGTAACAACTTCGCCGGCAGGGAATCGTGACAAATCCCTTCGACATAACATGAGCCTCGCAGTGTTGCTCCCGGACTCCCCCCGCGTCAGGGTGTCCGCACAGCGCTAACAGCAAGGGGCAGACGGGGTCTGTCATCCCTGCCCAGCTCTCTGGCTAAGCCTCCTTCGGTAACCGCACCCATGTCGGGGCGCCCCCCAGCTTCGACTGCGTATACGCCTGCCGTGCATCGGCCCGTTGTATAGCATGGTCCTCAAACAATCCGCACGTGTCGGCAGCCGTGCTGGCCTGCATCGTAGCAGAGCAGCTGGAGAGCTCCTGGAATATCGCAACGTTATTGTCCTGGTCGACCACATCTAATCAGTCGAACACGACCCTCCCCTTGAATGTGCGACCCTTTTGAACTTCAGGAAGTTCGGCGTTCTTCTCGACCAGGATCGCGAACAGGCGTCCGATGTGGAACGCTTTCCCTTTCATAATTGCTTTAAAGTCGCGCAGCTCCTTGACCTTTGTCTCGCCCCCCGTCATTATCTGTCTCAATCGGCCCCACTCATCCCATCACTGCCTTTTGAGTTTTCTCAGTAGTAGCGGCCCCAGCCTTAGTGACAGGGCGGGCGACGCATGCGTAGTGGCTCATCATATTGGCACCCCGCTTGGATGGAAAGGCGAAGGCCTCCTCTCGCTCACCGACCTGCATCAAGTCCGTGAACGGGTTATAGCAAGGTCGGCAGGCCGGCTCCTTTTCCCGATGACTATCGCGACCCGCAGTTTTCCCCAGAAGGGGCATGCGAGGGGCGCCGCGACGCTTGGTCGCAGCCGCGCAGTCCAATGCTGTGCGGTCCCAGTCGCTGTCATTATTGGTACTGGAGTGACGTCCATGGGACGACCCCGTTTCTTCTTCGGTGGTGCGCGCTTCTGTGCAGCATTTCTGGAAGTCTTGCAGCACATCTTCATCTATGTCAACCGCCCTCGACTGCGCTGCAGCTGCCATGACATATGTAGGCGCTGGTTTTGGCATGTCGATCCCGATAGTCTTCAGCAGTTCTGCGTCAGGTCCAGGATCCTCCAGACCGTAGAAACCCTTTTTCTCTGTCTTGTATTCCTCAATGAGTCTCTTGCTTTCTGGGCCTCCCGTTTTGACGCGCCTGTCTGGATGGACGCCCGGGCTGGTTGACTGCTTCAGGGTCCGTCGGGGGATGGCATGGCCAAAAACCTCGTCATATACAGCCACCTCGTTAGGTCTCCTGTAGAATGGATCGTAGTAGAACACCACTCGACGGTGGGCTGACTCTGTTTGCCCTTCAGCGGAAGAGGCTTCGTAAGCTCTTCCACCGTCTTCCCAACAGTCACGACTTGCTGTTCATAGTACTCACCCGCGTCGAGGTTCTGCGTTGTCCTTGCCAGTATCTGTTCCATCTTTGGCTCGCCCCTGGCAGGGGCTGCCAGGAACTTGGACCGCCTGGCAATGATGACTTCCCTTTTTGCAAGGTTCTCACCGTTCTTCACCGCTTTGAAATCTACCCTCCTGCGCTTGGCGCCCGGGGGTAGTTCTGGGTCAGGTGGCGGGCCCGACGGTCCTTCATCGTCCGTCGGGTCGTCGTCGGGCACGACGTTAATTGCCCCTTCACCGCGCGTGAGGGTCTTCTTCCTCTTCGCCTTGGGCGTCAGGAGCGTCTGCTTCCGCCATTCAGCCCTCGTGCGAGCTTGAGGCCCCGCCGGATTTCGCATGCGGTTTTGCCTTCTTTGTGTCCTCCTCCTTCCCGCGGGAGAGCAACTCCTCTACGGCGACGCTCTCCACGTTCGCCGTGGCCTTATCGCAGGAGCACCTGAGCGGGAAGTTCACGGCAAAGTCCTTGTCAACGTTGTCGACGATCCCATCGGGAGACCCTATAACGTCTTGCTCAATCGCAGTGTCGGGGCA